TCTTTGTGCCTTAAGCTTTGACACCGGCAGGCAATTCACAAAGGAGCTGGGCTGTGTTTTGAAGAGTTCATTTTCTTTCAAGTTGTAGGTTGTGCTGTACGTGACTGATAAAAGATCTTTCCTAGCATTAAAGCTGGTCACAGCCCCAATAAACCTGGAACAAATTCTGAGAAAGCATGTCATGTTATGACTGGCATATCTGTGAGCATAGAGCTCTGCTTCAGTTAGACTAAAAATTTGCAAAGTGCTGGTGCTGATGTCATTCCCTTGGAATGGAAGGGCTGTTGAAACAGTAAATACTTTCTGTGGCCAGAACCTAAGTCTCGAGCTGGACCTTTTCCTCTCTGCGAGGGAAAGAATGCAGAACAAACCTAAAATGTGTATTTGCAATGGGAAAATCTTAATTAGTTTAGAGCTTTTAGCCATTTCAAACCATTTACATACACAGCTGCTGTTCATGCAAACATGAAAACTATTCATGGAAACTTCAAACTTACCTTGAAATGACAAGTGTTTTTGGTTTTTTTCCTGTTTTTTAAAGCTGTGCTTGGTGTTCAAAAGTATGGTTGGAAAGGTCTGAAAATTATACTTGTACTGTACGTGCAGAAAGGAACATAGACGCAGGCTAACAGAAGCATATAATAAAAGGCTTTACTTCAGCAGAACTTAACACTGAAACCCTGTTAGCACCAAGCAGCTGCTGGGAAAGTATTTAATTTTTAGGGGCATTTACTCTTGGTTGTATCTGTGGAGTTTTGGTTATGACTCTGAAAAAAAGAGAGATGACAAGAATACAAACTTAGATGTGGTTCAGGTCTTACAGCTGGCTTCTCTGCTACGAAAGGTTGGTCTGAAACACTGGATCCAAGTAACCCACAGCCTGGGAATTAGAACCTAATGCTGTAGCTATCATCTTTCTTAGACACTGAGATCTACAGGATAACTCAGATTTTTGTACTGTCCCTCAGAGAACCCCATTGAGCATTCACAAGGAATTCATCCCCACCCCCAGCTTCCTCCTAGGAGGAAGAGTTTTGCCATGACAGATGTGGGGAACAGATGTTAAGAGGAAAAGTTATAACGGGACAATGACCTGAAGTGTTAGTTGAGCTCTTCCTTGATGTGACTGAACTTCTGTTCCCGATGGCAAAGGAGGAAAGCAGCGTGTGTCCGCTGCCTGTCTCTGCAAGCCCTAGTGTTAATGTCAGGGGGTTGACATGTAGAGCTTTTATGTGTTCGTGTTGGATACTCAGTGTTCAGTTAGCTGAGGAAGAGAGAGGAAGGAACAAAGATTTAAAAGCAAATCAGCTGTCTGTTATTCAAGGACAGCTAGTCCTAAGTAGGTGAATCATGCTTAGCCACCCACCACCTTTCCTGAGCAGTTGTAGGTAATTTTTTCTGAATTTCGGTCTCCTGTTTTACATCAAGGCTTCTCTTTCCACCTTTGCATCTGTGATGTCTAGGAGATGCTCATGCTCCTCATCCCTAAATGCTCCAGTGAGCTAATCTAGAAGAGTCCTCAGCAGCTGATGAGTAACAGTAATAGTGAGCTGGGAAAAATGGCCTTTCACCAATTCTGTATTATCAGCATAGAGCACATAAGATTGTTTGTTTGTTTTCTTCTCTATCATTTTCTATTTCAGAAGGATTTCTGCTCTTTGTTGGCTTGGGAGGAAGATGTTGAGCTTGATAGTTAATGTATTATGAGAGAGGTTGGCGGGTAAGACCAGCTTCCCGACAGGGAGGGATTCAGGACGGTCTAGCTCAGGAGGCTGTGAATAACTATGTTTATTACTGAAAGGAGATCAACCGTCCAGAGAAGCCTGAGAATTCTTAATGGCTCTTGAAATGGGAAGCTAAGTATTTGAAATACTCTAAGAAGGTGACAATTCTGTGAGCTACTTTCTGTCTCCCAAAAAGGTTGGCTTCAGTTTTATTAACAAGTTTTTCCATGGGGCAGTTTTGTGGTGTTACTTTTCTAGCTCTCAGACAGAGGCTGGGCTTGATGACCTCTTCAGAGGCCCCCTTCCAACTTGAGCTATTCACTGATGCTGTTATAGACATCACTTGTGCATATTTATTATTTTCTGTCTTTAATTTTACATTTGCTCTATTTTCACAGGGCATTACCTGTTATTCATGGGATTTTTTTGGTTCGAATTCAGTGCAGGGCTCAAAGGCATACACTGTATGGTGATTTCAAAGCTTGTGATGAAACGGCACTTCTTACTATAGACTTTTCTTTCTTTGCTGTTCTTCAGTGTGTTGTTCATTGTCAAATGACTCATGGCATTAGCAAATCAGCAGCATGGGATACATTGGCTCTATACGCGTGAAGTTGTTGGTGTGTGTGCCGCGTGTGCAAGTGATCACTGGCCCGGTCTCACGTGTGAACACTCATGAGGTTTAGCATAGGGGATATCGGACATAGTTGGTCAGCATATGTGCATCACCTGATAGATCTTATTCTTCAGCAAATGTGATGCAGCTCCCATTCATATATATATTATTCATCAACTTTAAATTAAATTCTTTATTTTTTTGCACTCACATTATCACCTTAGGTCTCTGTATGTCTCATTCTCTCTCTCCCTCTCCTCAAAATCTTTGAATAAGGCTTTTCTTGTTCCACCTCCAGCTTATCTGTATAAACTCTTGGTGACATAAATGTTCACATTGTCCACATCAATGACCATGTGTCCTTAATAATGCCAAGCTTCAGTGTATCTGGTACTCGGAGCCTTCTCCTTGTGAACAAACTACATATTTGAGGAGCTAATATAAAAAATTTCCTTGGTAAAACTCTTCATTGAGAAGTCTGGTTGAAGTGCATTTTTTTTATTATTTGCTGGGTATACCCAACTCCCTTGGGTCTTAAAGTCAGTTCCTGTATTTGGAGCAGTTTGAACCTTCAGCCCTGACCTGCAGGGGTCAGAGGACTTGGTTACTGTACAAAGCGATCATTTTTCACGGGAGAGGGAAGTGAGATTTCATTGGGCTTCAGGGTTTATTTTCCTCTCCTGCTTAGTGCGACAGAGATAGCATCCTTGTTAGAAAGCAGAGAGAGGAAAGAAAATTCAGTCCACATGTTTGGGATTTAAGGTTGAGAATGATTCACGCTTAGCTTCTGGGGGTTGTAATTAGGGGTGACATAATAGCCATAAACTTTCAATAAAATAGTAGCAGCATTTTTGTTACACTCTGTAGCTGCAGAAGCTGCTTCTGATTAGCATCCCTTCGAGATAAGCCTACAGGACCTCCGCGGTTTCCAGATCTGGATCCAGGCTTTTGTGACATAGTCTTACTTCTGTACTGATGCTGAAGGGCACCCTGAGTTCTGAAACACCCCAAACTTCGATGACATTTTCACTTAGATCAGCATCTCAGCCTTTTCCTTAGCCATTTTAGTCCATCTGTGTAGTTTTTAAGTCAGTATTATCTTATGCTGGCTGAATCCTGCCAGTTTATACGCTTTATAATACACTCTAAGGGTTATCTACTATGGAAAAAAACAATCATGCTGTCCTCCTCTTCTCCTGAATTATTACTACTCTGTTCTTTTCCAAGTGGCTGAGATTAAAAGGAATCCAGGAATGCATGGAGCAGGAGAACTGTCATTCCCACTCCACACCAAGGTGCATTCTTGTAGGGAGAGATGGGCATTTACACTGGAGTTCTGCCATCAGCGTTCAGCCAATTCTATTTTTTGGCAGCTGAGCACATGGAATTTTTAAAAAGAAGATCTACTTTTTTTAAAGCAGGTCACAGACAAAAATAAAGACACATTCTTCGGCTACGAGAAGTAGGTCAGGCTTTGGGGGAATCATTTGCGAAAGCTGTTGATCTTTTTAATATTTTTTGCTTCCTATGCCAAATTTGTATGCTTTTTATAAAGAGGGCCTGCACATTTTTCTTTAGGTGTGATGTAGTCTTTTGCTTTGGTGAGCAAACTTTTTACATTAACATTTTTTAAAAAATGGGGGGGGGGGGGGGGAAAACCAAAAAAAA